TCAGATCTTGTCTATTTTTTCTTTCTCAAGCTTAGGCTAACACCGTGTTCCCATATTAAGACCAGTGGGCCTAATGGAGAAATTGAATCCTGCTATTAAGGCTTAGTGCAACCAAAATAACAAATGTTGGCGAGGATGTGGAGAAAAGGGAACCTTCATGCTCTGTTGGTGGGAATGCAAGTTGGCGTGGTCACTCTGGAAAACAGTATGGAGGTTCCTCAAAAAATTAAAAATAGAATTACCATACAATCTAGCAATTCCACTTCTAGGTATTAATCTGAAGAAAACAAAAAGTAATTTGAAAAGACATATGTATCCTTATGTTTACTGCAACGTTGTTTGCAAAAGCCAAGACAAGATATGGAAGCAGCCCAAGTGTCTATGGAGAGATGAATGGTTAAGAAGATGTGGTATATATATATATATATAATGGAACGTTACTCAGCCATGAAAAAAGAATGAAATCTTGCCATTTACAATAGCATGGATAGACCTAATGGGTATTGTACAAGTGAAATAAGTCAGGCAGAGAAAAACAAATACTATTCGATTTCACTTCTATAAATCTAAAGGATGGAGTAGATTTAGAGGATGGACAAGATAGGTGAAGGGAATTATACGGTGCAATCTTCTAGTTAGAAAATAAATAAGACATGAGATATAAGGAACTGCATAGGGAATACAGTTAATAATATTGTGATCACTCTATATGGTGACAGATGATAACTAGATTTATTATGGTAACCATTTTATAATGTAAATGAGTATCAAATCATTATGTGGTATGCCTGAAACTGATACAATAGTGTATGTCAATTATTCTTCAATTAAAAAAAAAAAGACTATTGCAGCTATTTGGACAATGAAACATTAAAGTCTGGATTTCAGGCGGTCTGGGTAGCTCAGCGGTTTAGCGCCACCTTCGGCCCAGGGCATGATCCTGGAGACCCGGGATCAAGTTCCACATTGGGCTCCCTGCATGGAGCCTGCTTCTCCCTCTGCCTGTGTCTCTACCTCTCTTTCTCTGTTTCTCATGAATAAATAATAAATAAATAAAATCTTAAAAAAAATAAAGTCTGCATTTCACACTTTTTATAACCTATAAAAGTAACTTCACCCCTTTGCCCCCATTCTCCTCTCCTTACCTTTACTCCTGATCTGACTATTCTCTAGATGTGTAAAAGTACTGTAATTAGGGGCATGGGTCAGATACATCCCACTCCCTGTTTTATTTTCCTTTGCTTAGAAAACCAGATATTTTCAGAAAGGTAAAATAAATAGGGCTGGTTCCAACCTCATTGTGAAATAGTTTGTTCATGATGAGCCTCTTCCCCTTGCATACACTATTTTTCTTTGTGGCTACTCTTCCCCTAACTGTGAGACTTCCTTGGTTTATTGCCAGCCTTCTGTCCCTCCCTCTCCACAGCATCCCTCTTCTTCATTCAGCTTTCTCTGTTCTGTTGTTCTTGTCCATGACCCACAGTCAGTCTGTTCGTGGCCTCCATGCTGCTCATTGTCACTATAACTGAAACATCCCTGTTCTACAGCTCCTCATCCAAGGCTAACTTTGCGCTTTTAGGAGGCAATTTTACTTGGCACACTTATAATTGATCTGTAAGTATTTAAATAAATGGATAAGAATATGAATCAATAAACTGCTCCCTCATGGTACATCACTTAGCACCCATCCTGCGCCCACCCACCCAGGGTAAACGTGTTTTACCAGGGGCCTGAAGAAAACATCACGCCTTCCTTTGTGGCAGGATCAAATGAGGTGAGTCAGGAGAGGAGCCCCGGGACAGATGGCTGTTGGAGTATTAGGTTAACCATGTGTTTCTGATGCCTTAACAACATCTGGGGCTTACTGACCCTAGAGAAATGGCTCTTCCTAAGGCTGGCCAGCTCCAATCAAGCCAGGGCCCATAGCCCAAAAACCTTCTTTAGCTAAGTTATCACTGGGCTCTCACATTCTGATCCACTAACCACCTGCTCTAATCACTCCAGGGCCAGGTTCCAGACAACTAAGGACAGCTCCTATACTCCAGAGCCTGCTGAAATTGTTCAAAGTAGCCAATCTAAGCAGGCTAACCTGGTCTTGTCCGCTCTTTCAGGTAGAAAGCACAATAAATTTACATTTTTGTGTATATTTTGTTTATATTTTCCCCTTGCTCCTTCTGCCTCCTGACCAATCTTGGTGCTTCCCCATGGTACGACATGTTCCCTCCTCTTAAAAACTGTAACAAACTATCTTATCAATGTCTGTCTCCTCCTGATCTGTTGGCTTCACCAATGTCTGAGGGATAATAAAACCCACATGTTAAAATAGTTATTTCCAATTATTTCTCTAATCCCAAGTATGAGGCCTCCCATGCTGATTCTTTTACTTCTGAGGGAGGCCTCTCTTTTTCTAAACGTTCTGACAATTTGGAGAAATAACTATTACCTGGAGAAGGCAGTGTAGTATTAAGTTAAAAAAATAAAAGTAATGACAGGCTTTACTTCATATGTATTATCAACCTAGGATCTCAAAAGTCCTGTGAATTATTTTATTATGCTAAATGAACTGAAATTTAAAGAGTGTTTTCCAAGGTCCCAGAGCCACATACACAAAGAGATGAGACGCAAACACAAATTTTCCTGGCGCTTCTCTGAATCATGCTCTGTTTCTACTAATTCTATCAAAGTCTTCCAAATCCTCCGATATCTTTTACAAAGTTTGTTGTGTAACATCACCACTTCCTTCATACTTTAAGAAGTATGGCAATTTCTTCATACTTTAAAGAGTGAGTCCATAATGAAAAGTAGCTAAGATTTATCTAGATTCTTCAACAACAACATGGCCTTGGAGAAATGAATGTAGAGTCTTAGGAATATATTACCCAAAGATAGAGAAGATCTAGAAATTAAAGAACTTTACAATACTAAGTCTGATATCTAGTGAATGACTGAGAAACTTTAGAAATCTCTTCTTTCTGAAAGAGTTCCATTCTTTGGTCATGAGTCATCAGAGCGACAAAGAACAGATTGGCTGTGAAGAAGACAGGCAAAAATATCTTGCAGTTTTGGGGAACCAGAAATTGAAGGAAAACTCAATTCAATAGTAGAGATGAAAATAAGCATAAAAAGGCAATATATAATAAAATTGCTACCAAATGTCATCAAGCAGCAAAATGCACAATAAAGATGTGGTCAGTGTCGACCGCAGTTATTGGAGGAAACACTTCAAGTGAAATATTTGACAAGTTAACCCAACATGGAACAAAATATATCTCATGGGAATTTATCTTTTAACGTTTACCAAATTTGTTCAGTGGTTTGGAATTCTCTATTTTAAGAAAAAAAAAAGAGGGAAACTTGAGAAAGAGGAAAGAGAGAAAGACAATAAAGCTATTCAAGTGACCTGGAGATAAAACACATTGACTGAAGAATTGGACTGTAGGTATGGAGAAAAGAAGACTGGATAAGGAGGTTAAGAGCAACCAGCAAGAATTGGAGGTGCCACTTGGAGATGGTGATTGGCAGCTGTTAAGAATTTCCATGGACTGTAGGTAAGAAGAAACGAGTTTGTGTGGCCAGAGGACCTCAGCTGGATATCAGGAAGAATTTCCTGACTGGAAATGTCAAGAGTTCTGGTTTACAGGATCAAAGGGAGGCTTCTGGGATGTGCCTACCCTAGGAATATTTTTTAGCCTCAAGCAAGAGACTGGGTGGTTTCCTGCAGCCCCTAGGATGGACTGGATGGCCTCCTCACAATCCATCAGTCTCATGTTGCTGAGAGGCGTGCCATTCACACTGCTGCTTTCCTAGTGTCCTTGCCAGCTGCCCACTCCCAGCTCAGAGGCTGTGGAGTGTTCCCCACAGAGAGAAACAACTAAGTCTTTCACTCCCTGTTCCTCACTTGGGCCAGTCCTTGAGGTGTACACTGTGGTTTTTCAGCTCTTCAGCACTTAGGCCCTTTCCTTCTGAGCCAAGGGCTTCCTGGGAACAATGTAGCATCTGTGTGTTGACAGTAACAGTCTAGGGGCCAGAGACACTTTACCAAACTCCCTCTGTTTCACATAAACTGGATTGCATACCCCGCCTACAGTAATCTGCACCTATTAGCCCCAGCACCAGGTGGACCCCTCCTTACCTATTCCCCAACCTTTTACCTAATTTGATTCCTAGCTTTTTTTTGTCACATTTATGCCGATCCTCATGCAGGATGGTCTCTACCACCTCCCATCCCACCCATAGAGTTAACAATAACACATTAGTGGCTCGTGGCCTGACACTAAACAGTGGGCACCGAAGGGTGAGGTACCTACTGCTTATTTGGGCATCTGGGTATTTATAAAAGGTTTGGCCTGCAAAGAGATGCCAGCCTTTTCCTATAACATTATTGCTTTTTATTTATTGTGTGGTTGTTGATTTACATAGGAGTTAGGAACGCAAAACAAGCATAGTTTTTACATAGTCTGTTTCTGCTGAGTTTAGAGACTTGGAAACATCATTTGACTGGCAAAAAGACAATTCCAGAAAGGTGTCTCAAACCTTCCCTTTATTCCTGACTGAGTTAGAGAGGGACACGTGCTTGTGAAGAAAGTAGAGTTTCAACTCTTCAGGACTAGAAAAGAGCAGAAATTATGTTGCATGGGAGTCCTGTGGAATGTACAGATTCAATAGGAAATGACAAATCAAAACAACCTCTCTCCCTTCAAAGAGATCACAGAATTTCTCTTTATGGCTCCATTGAGCGGCGTGTATTGCAGTGTATGGGGCTACGCAGTATGACTGTATAGAAGATTGGATGGGTAGTAAGAGTGTAGACCATTTAAAAGAAAGGATAAGGAGAGTAAATGAGATTTTAAGGAACAAAGTGGAGAGCTGTGTGTGTGTGTGTGTGTGTGTGTGTGTGTGTGTATAAGGCCTGGTGATCCTGTTTACTGTCTCTGAGATTTCAGTTGCCTTTTTTACATTTCATGTAAATACTTAGTAGTATGTAGAAGTATCAGGAGAAATCAGAGTTCAACCTTTGGAGTTTTTTCTTCCGATTCATGGTTTTCTTTCTGAAAAACATCATGACACTGTTACTTAGATTTGGAACCCACTCTTGGTTTTGAGCTCTGAGATTAGCAAACAGCTATTTAATTACTCCTGGAAGTCCTAAACCCATTCTTAATTTTTATTTCATGAACTCTTATATATAGGAATTTGGTTTGTTTCCCATTAATAATGTAAACAGAATGGTAAAATCCCAAATTCAGTTCCTTTGAATATGCAAGACATTTCCAAAGTTGCCCGTGTAGTTCTATTCTCACGACTCTATCCTAAGAAGCATTCTTTTTTTTTTAATAATAAATTTATTTTTATAGAAAGCCACCTTCCAATGGGGAGGCGTTGCTAGGCTTTATCATTGAAATCAATCTAAACATTTCTAATATTGTTAAGAGACACACATTATTATTTGATGGCCATTTTAACAATAGTATCATACTTTTAAAATTCATTCTATTTTTTTTATTGGAGTTCAATTTGCCAACATATAGCATAACACCCAGTGCTCATCCCGTCAAGTGCTCCCTCAGTGCCCGTCACCCATTCACCCCCACCCCCCGCCCTCCTCCCCTTCCACCACCCCTAGTTCGTTTCCCAGAGTTAGGAGTCTTCCATGTTCTGTCTCCCTTTCTTATATTTCCTACCCATTTCTTCTCCCTTCCCTTCTATTCCCTTTCACTATTATTTATATTCCCCAAATGAATGAGACCATATAATGTTTGTCCTCCGATTGACTTATTTCACTCAGCATAATACCCTCCAGTTCCATCCATGTCGAAGCAAATGGTGGGTATTTGTCATTACCTAAGAAGCATTCTGATCCTCTCTACCATACCCTTGTGAACTTTTGTTCTTAATCAAATCCAGGAGAGCTGAAAGAATTTTTATTCAACAGGACATAGAGAGGAAAACTCAACTTGTTATACTGGAGGCTCCTACTTACCAGCCGTTTCCCTTTTAGGAATCCATCACAAAAGTTTTGCACATGCTCCACAGAAACTTCTGCCATGGGCAGTGTATCCCACTCTTCATCCACAGTACGGTAAATTGCCAAAGCAGGCAGTTGAGACTTTTTTAGTTTGAAAAATGAGATCACCTTCCCATTTGCCTCCACGCCACTGTCCACCAGAACAAAAAGAATCTGCAGTTGGAGAGGTTTGAAAGGGAAAAAAAAAATCTATCTGAGGTCCAGAGGAGAAAGAGACGTCTCATAATTGTTGCAGTTTACACTAATTAACTTGTGGTCTGTGCCATATAATATAATGAATTTCTTATTTTTCTCTGCTTTGGTATTTTATCCCTTTTCATCAGATTTAAGATTAAGAACACAGAATTAGAAATAACTTTAGTGATTAGTTAAATAAACAAGTATGGCCTAATGGTTAAAAGCAGATAGTACATTCTACATTTTGTTTCTGGTACTTTCTAGCTGTGTGACTTTGGCACATTACTCAGCCTCTCTGAGGCTCAATATTCTCATTGGCAAAATAGGCTTTTGCCCGAAAGATTAAATGAGCGGATCCATTTAATATGTCCAGTACAGTTTTTGGCATATGGTAAATGCTTGATAAATGTCGATTATTTTATATTATTAAATCAAACCTTCTACTCAAAGTAGAAACCTTTATAATGTTCTTGTTAGGGGATCATTTAGATTCAGAAATTTTGAAAACATCCAGTGTTAAGGAAATAGCCGCCCGAAAGCTGGCTTATGTTATTACCAGACAATTTCAACATCGAAAAGGTCTAGTTTAATGCAGTAGCGTTGAAGTGGTTGGAGTTTTATTATTTCAGTGATACCAAACAGAGCTGCATGAAGTAGAGAAGGGACAGGACTAAATATTTATTGGACATCTAGTAGGCACCAGGTATGTGAGAGTTACTTTATATAAGAAGTAAGTCCTGAGTCTAAAATTCTAAGAGGTTATGGCAAGGACTAATTAAATTGTGACTAATAGGGGATTTTTATTTTCAACATCTTTGGATCTCTATTTTTCTCTCCACTTCTTAATGTAGACAAAAAATGAAATAGACTTCCAGCCAAGGGAAGATATGGTTATACAGGACTTTAATAGTATAAAATACAGCATCTTTAATTTTAAATCAGAGTAATGTGATTTATTAGGTCCTAGTTCTTACTTTGTTATCTCTTAACCTTTTTTTTCAGATCTTATTTCTTATTTTTTATTTATTTATGTTTTCAAGAATGTTTTTGTAATAATAAATTTATTTTTTATTGGTGTTCAATTTGCCAACATACAGAATAACACCCAGTGCTCATCCCGTCAAGTGTCCCCCTCAGTGCCCGTCACCCATTCACCCCCACCCCCCACCCTCCTCCCCTTCCACCCCTAGTTCGTTTCCCAGACTTAGGAGTCTTCATGTTCTGTCTCCCTTTCTGATATTTCCTACCCTTCCCTTGTATTCCCTTTTGTTATCTCTTAACCTTACTCATTTTCCTTATTTACCTAATCTCCCTGGATCTATCTGCCTGTTTTTAGTGACCTGCTACTGAGTATTCAAAAGAGTATCTCCCATTTCAGACTTACTTTCCCCTGGAAGAGCTTGGCTGCCTTCTGGTATCTGGACATGCTTTCTTCATACTCTGGAGAGGCCTTGTTCATCATCAGTAGAAGATGAATCTGGATCATGCTATTAAATAGGCCAATCACAGTCTGGCAAATTGAAGTATTTCATAGTAGAATGAAAGAGACAAGGAGCAAAACAAAACAAAACAAAACAAAACAAACAAAAAGCCCCATTAGTGGCAACACAGTAAATAAATAGGCTTAAATATGAATGAGAACTGTCCATCCATAACATAAATGGTAACTAGCCTTCAGTTTGACCCTCAATAAGTCTCACCCTTGGGCTGTCATGAAACTGTGTAGATCCCTATTGCCCACACTAGATAACGGTGAGCCGAGTAGCCACTGGGATATTGCAGAAATGATGGAGTGTGACTTCCAAGATGAAGTCATAAATGACATAGTGGCTTATGCTTGGTCTCTTCTGTCACTCACTCTGGGGAAAGCCAGTCCCAGTGTTGGACACTCATGCAGCCTTATGAAGAGATTCACACAGCTCTATGCTCAGTATAGAGTCTGCTTAAGACTCTTTCGTCCTCTCTCTCTGCCTCGGTCCCCCCCATCAAATAAATAAAAAATCTTAAAAAAAAAGAGTATACAAACAGCCTAATACATGATTGTGAGTTTCTGCTTCCTTGTTGTCACTGGTGCAAACCTCTGCATCAGCAGCAGGTGAGACATAACTATAGTTGTGGGGGCGGGTCTCCAAATGGGAAAAATATCACTTTTGGGAAACAGAAAGGTCACAATGAGAGTTAAACTTGCTTCTCTAAAGTTATTCTTACCTAATTTCTTCTTGGTGCGATCTACCTTCACTACTAATGTGGAACTTAAAAATTGTGTCAGTATTTTGTAAGAAAAGGGATTGCCCAGGCCTAGAATTCAGGAAGACCAATCCTTGTCCCTGCCTGCATTAACCTGAAGAACTCCAGGACCCTAGGTACACGAAATAGGGACTCTAAGATCATCTTTTCTGCTCCCACATGCGCTCCTGACCTCTATAGACATAATCATGAGAATGATGATGGCCTAGGAAAAAGATGCCTTTTTGATTATTGCTGCTGCCACCCACCCCTGGGGTGCATGTGTTTGGAATCTTTGTAAGAGTGGAAATGGAGTCACCACTCCACGAAGACAAACGTGGTGTGAGAGGTGGACAGGAATTTAGTCAACAGGAAAAAGGGTGTTTCCTATTGAAGCCTGAGTGGGGCAATAGAAAAACCACAAGATTCAGTCAGACAGACTAGTCATGAAAAAAGCAGGGACAAGTGCAGAGGGCTGTTTCTGAGGCTCAAATTGCTAGGCATATGGCCTTGAGGAAGTTACTCCACTTTTCTGAACCCTCTTTTCTCCTGCAAAATGGAAATAGACAGTGAACGAATGCTTCAGCAGTAAACTTCCTGCCTTCTACTCTGCCTTTCCTGCTTTATATGGGATCCTAGATAAGTCACTTGGATCTTAAATGTGCTCCTCTATAAAATGGGCATAATACTTTTCTCTCTCCTACCTCAAAAAATCAACGTGAAGATTAAATGAGAAAATGGGTGTGAAATGACTTGGTGAGTTCTAAAAATCAAGATGTGCATCTAAAGTCATGTTATTAGAGAATGCAGAGCATTTCTGACCTGAGGAAATCACTGGAAATTAATACTCTATCACTTTATGATCTACATCAGGGAAAATAAAAGGGTATAGAAGGCACTTGTAGAAGCTGTAGAGTGTTAGAAGATTATCAGAACAGGTGGATCAGCACCTTCACTCGGGTTGCATGCAGCATGCAACACCAAAAGGAGACAAATCCAGAAAGAAAGCGGATTACTGCGAGGGTCTAGGCATGTGCAGGGGAAGCCAGACCAGTAATTGTTGGTTACTGGTCCATAAGGAGGTAGGGAGAAGTTTTAAAAATGTTATAGAAATTTTGCTTAGCTGTAACATCCAAATATGTGATCAGTGGGCCTTTAAAAATTTTTTTTTCCATTTGTCTGTTAATTTACTTTCCTTGTATTTTGCAAAAGTATTGGTCACTAATGCTTTTGGGGAAAAAATGGACTCCGGCTAAGATTGTGGTTTTGTTTGAAAAGTGTGGTTTAGAGGGTGGCTCAGATGAGTTGCCTATAGTGAACGGTTTCAGGCAGCAAAACTCAGAAGTTTTTGACTCACTCATCTTTGACTTGCATTCTGGCTCTTTTTCTTACTAGTCATCTGATGGGTATTTAAGAGCTCTCTTTCTTTCTTTTTTTTTTTTTTAAGATTTATTTATTTATTTGAGAGAAAGATCACGAGAGGGAGAGGCAGAGAGAGGAGAGAGAATCCAAAGCAGACTCCATGCACTATGTGGGGCCCAATTCCATGACCCATGACATCATAACCTGAGTTGAAACCAAGAGTTGGATATTCAGCTGACTGAACCACCCAAGCCCCACTGATGGATATTTAAATTCTCTGTTTTTTTTTTTTCCTGAATAGGGACAAACATCAAATTTAAAGGGTTGTAGTAAGGATAGCAAAATAAATGACAATAATGGCAGCTGCTGTTATTAATGGTTAAGGTTAGAATTCCTAGATGAAGGGATCTCTGCTATAGAGACAAGTACCCTCCCTGACACAGGGCTTAAGGGTCTGGAGACAAGGACTATTGTTTACCGCAGGGTTGTACTCTGTCACCAGGTGGAGACTGTTGATCTCAATGAAACGGCTTAATTTGGTGGCATCAATGCTTTCAATGTATTTGCTCTCTAAATCCAGTTTTTTGTTGTCCACCTGGGTAACACAAAAAGGATAAAATTGTCACTATTCTGTTTTTATTCATTCATTGATAAATGTTTCTGGACTATCTACCACATATCAGGCATTGACTAAAGCTCAAAAGACATAAAGGTAAGTAGGAAATATTCTCTGCTTTCGAGGAACACACTGTCTGGTGAGATACAAAGAAGTTAACAGAAATGTCATCACCGGCCCATATACCACCTAAAGGAAGAGCAGGAAAGCTTCCAGGAAGAAGCAACTCTTGAAAAGTAGCTAGAACTTGGTCAAGTGAATGAGGATGGGGAGGAAATTATTAAAAAAACAAACAAACAGTATTTGCAAAAGGCAAAAAGATGAGAGATGTCATGCTCTGGTAGCTGCATTTAGTTTGCCATGACTATAACAGTAGATGTTAAGTGTGAGTAGGAGAGAGACAGGTTAGTGGGGTAGGCTGGGGCAAACTTCCAAAGGACCTTGAAGCTGAAGTGAATAGATTAAACTCTAACCTGAAGGCAAGAGGATCATTTACATAATCAGATTTATGTGTATATATATGTACCCTTTAATGTGAAATAATACATATAGAGAAAAGCATGAAATGGAGAATATAAAATTCAGTTTTTTCACTTTATAATGGATGCTTAGATTCTTGATTTTTATTGTTATCCTTTTCTAAAATATATGTTAAAATCTATGCATTTCCCCCTTTCAGGGCTATAAATGCATCCATAAATTTTATATGTAGATTTCATTATCATTCAGTCCAAAATGTTTTCCAATTTCTGTTCTTATTTCTTCTCTAACCTATTGGCTATTTAGAAGTGTGCTTTTTTAAATTCTAGCTTAATTTCTACATTTTATTATTGTTATTCTAGCTTAATTTCTACATTTTATTATATCATTTGTCAACTTCTATATATGCTATATATGTCCTTTAAATCATGTATATTCTGCAGTTTTCAAATACAGTATTCTGAATATACTAACAGCTCACTTGGTTAATTTCGTAGTTCAGATTTTCTATATTTTTACTGATTTGTTTAACCAATTTATTCTACCAAGAGAGTAGTATTAAAATCTCCCACCATGATTGTGAATTTAATCATTTTTTCTTACAATTCTGTCAGTTTCTGCTTATATATTCTCAGGCCATGTATTAGATGAATGCGAATTTAGAATTGTTACATATCTGGCCAAGTTGAAACATGTATCATTATGAAACATCATTCCTTTACTTATTTATTTTTTTAAAAGATTTTATTTATTCATGAGAGACACACACAGAGAGAGAGGCAGAGAAATAGGTAGAGAGAGAAGCAGGATCCCTGCGGGGAGCCCGGTGTGGGACTTAGTCCCAGGACCCCGGGATCACGCCCTGAGTCCCATGAAACATCATTCTTTATCTCTAGGTATTCTTGTTGCCTAAAAGACGACTTTGTCTGACATTAATATGCCTAAATCAGCTTTCTTTTGGAAGTATTTGTATGGTATAGCTCTATCCATTTACTTTTTTTTTCTTTAGGTAGGAATTCCTTCTTTAAAAATTTTTAATTTAATTTTTGGTTAACATACAGTGCAATATATGTTTCAGGAGTAGAATTCAGTGATTCATCACTCACATATAATATCCAGGGCTCATCACAAGTGGCCTCCTTAACACCCATCACCTATTTAGCCCATTCCCCACCCATCTCCCTCCACCAACCCTCTGTTTGTTCTCTATCACTAAGACTCTCTAATGGTTTGTTTCCTTCTCTCTTTCTCTTTTTTCCCCTCCTTTTTCTTCCTTCCCATATGTTCATATGTTTTGTTTCCTAAATTCCACAAATAGTGAAGTCATATGGTTTGTCTTTCTCTGTCTGACTTATTTTGCTTAGCATAATATATTTAACTCCTTCCACGTCATTGCAAATGACAAGATTTCATTCTTTTTGAGGCTGAGTAATATTCTACAGTGTGTGTGTGTTTGTGTGTGTGTGTGTGTATCACATCTCCTTTATTCATTCATCAGTCCATGGACATTTGGGCTCTCTCCATATGGCTACGGTTGATAATACTGCTATAAACATCAGGGTGCATGTACTCCTTCAAGTCTGTAGTTTTGCATCCTTTGTGTGTATACCTAGTAGTACAATTGCTGGATCATAGAGTATGTCCTTTTACTTTTAACCTATATTTATACATTACATATATCCCTATGTTTTAAAATGATGTCTTTGGTAAAAAAGCACAGAGTTGTATTTTTTAATATAGTCTGCTATTTTTGTCTGCTATATTATTTTTATATAATGTAATGTATTTTTATATAATATAATGTAATATAAAGTAATCATGAATACATTTAATCCCATATGCATTGCACTTGTTACTGGTTCTGACTGTTCCAAATCCCACTTTCTTTCATTTTGGGATTACTTTCGATTGATTGAGCACTTTATATTATTCCTTCCTTCCCTTGATTGGCTTAGAAGTTACATGTGCTATAATCACTCTCTTGAGGATTACCAAGCATGCATTATACAACATGCATTCTTTAGTTATCCAAATCTAACCTAGTCTGGCAGTTTTGTCTCTTCTTGGATAATGCAGGCATTAGTTTTCCTCTTTCCAACTCTATTCCTTGACCCCACACTGAAGACTTACAGGTGATCATTATTGTGTATTTTAATTCTAAATCTCACAAGATATTATTGATATATAGTCAATATACATTCACGTTTATACAATTTTAGTTTCTTTTCATTTCTTCCTGCACTTATGAGCTTCCATCTGGGATGTTTTGCCCTCTGCCCAGAGAACACATTTTAGTATGAGTAAGACCTGTTGGGTGACATAGTCTCTCAGTTTGGTTGCTTAAAATATCTTTATTTCAGCTTTATTTTTGAAGGCTATTTTTGCTGGAGGTAGAATCCTAAGGTTACTGTTATTTTCTTTCAGTTTTTACAGGACATAATTCTTTATATGTAACATTCCAGTCTGTAGAAAGTCACTGAGAAGTCATCTATGAAATTAGCCCTTTGAGATTACTTTGAGGGAAATCTCTTCTCTGATTTAAAATTGTTGTCTTTTTCTTTGAGTTTCAGCTATTATATTGTGGCATGGCTAAGGGTAGATTATATAAATGATACATGTGTGTAATTAAGTATGTGTAGAGGTATATGTGTGTTTGTATGCATGCATGCATGGGTGTATATATACTTATATATCCACATAGGATCACCTTAATCCCATTTCAGGGACTGAAATGATTTAAATCTGTTGCAGCCTTTGGGAGGGCTGATATACTTATTGTACATCCTTGTTTTTAGGGTACTGCTCTTTAGGGTCAAAGTGGGGCAAAGGGTGTTTTACTAAATCTGCTTTGTACTTCTGCTTCTGGGCCCTGGATTTCAACATTTACTTTTCTGGCTCCTTGAGGTTCTCAAAAAAGATAATAAACTTCTCAGCCTCTTGACTTCTTCAAGAACTGGCAGGAAAAGCCACTCAGACAAAAAAAAGTCCCAATGAAGGGTTTTCTTTTTGGATTTTCTTCTTCCTCTAGATCTTAGTCTAGAAATTTCTCCCTCTTTTACTACTTCTCCAAGCTCCACCCCTCCACCCCCTTTTCTGCTCACCTGGCTTTTAAAATAAATTATTTTTGACAGAAGGGCTATCTAGTTACCTAGTCCAGTTTCCCATATTTGCATTTTAAAGCTGCCTTTCCACCATACTCAGATATATTAAAAGATAAGACTTCATACTGTCAATCATTGTCCCAGGGTTTTCCATCCTCCTCCCCCAATCTACTCATGCCCATAGAGGCAGAGGATAATGCTTCTAACACCGATGGCAACTATGCCTACAGACAAATGCTAGCTCCTGAAGGGTTACGTTTCCTTAAATACCTTGAATCTTCGAATCACTTTTGAGATGCTTGGGCCACTACCCCTTGGACATCTCAACCCCTTTACCTTACATTTGCTATCTCATATAGGTCCTACCCAATCCAATCTTGCCCTGGATCAGAACCATCTTTTTGCCCCTTGGATACTTTCTCCCAGTATACCCAGCAAAGTCAGAGTTATGTCTCATTGTAGTTTATGCAGGAGGGAATTCAGGCAAATATAAAGTCTCTAAACAGTAGGAATCTAAGATTGTTCATTATTGTCATTTCCATGGTGACTCCCATTGCCTATTTTTCTCCTCTTTTTTTCAAGGTGGTCTCCCATTGGGTTAGTTGAAAGCAATATGCACCTTTAAGAAGCCCATGGTTCTCTATGGTTAATATTGTTAATTCTAGAATACCCAGTCATTCTCTTCTAATACCTTTGCAAATGAATTGTTTTTTGAGTGCCTGCAGTATGTTAGGCGCTGAGGCACAGGAATGCCTGACATTCCTTCAGATAGCAATTTAATCACTTTATTTTATGACTGTTTTTCACAACTCAAATTTATAAAACAGATACATGCAGAGGTACAAAAAATATATTTCAAAATAAGAATTTTGAAAAAAAATCGTCAAAACCATAGGATATTTTAAACTGTGAACTCCCTTTGTATATTTAGTTTCAATATTCACAAATTCTGAGCAGAAGGCTTGAGGCAGAAATATCAAAGCAAGAGAAAAAGTCTTTCTAGAGGGGAGTCCTTACTGGGCCCCTCCCACCCACCTCTCCAAGTCAGTAAGAGTCAGGAGAAAAAGAAAATGAGCCCACAGGCTCTTTGCTGTTGCTTAAAGAATGCTTTGCCAGCTGGCATGTCTCCTTCACATTTAAGGCTTTGCTAATTGCAAACATCAAAATCATCAGTATTATAATCACAACCGGGGCCCTTTTAATATTTCATGTGTCTAAATACTTCCTGATTATTTGTCTAGGAACTTGCAGGCCTGGTGGCCGCGCCTCAGCTAACAGAGATGTGCTGTGGCCAGGAGCCCCTCCCTCTCTGCTCTTCCAGGCAGTCCCTCACCATTTCCCAGAACAGGGAGAACAGGAAGCCCAGTTACTCCAGGTGTTTCTGGACTTAAGGAATGC